TTGCTCCACAATTTTCAGATCTATACTAAACCAGAAGCAGCTTCGAAAAATTATTATTATTATTATTTTATTATCAAACTGGTTTAAAATATCGCATACAATAACACAAAGCTAAATTACTATGCAATTTGCAAAGATTAGTTACTATATAAAACATCATCCATTGTTACTAGAGTTAAAAGTGTCAACAGCATACGGAATTGGACTGAATTTAAATCCATTTGTCCTACTATTAAAGGTATAAAAAAGATCTTTATTAGATCTGGTATTTCTTGTTATTATCTGACACTTCTTGGTGGGAGCAAGTGGTGAAGTTTGTACTCTTTTTCTGATAAATCACTAACCAAGTTTATACAACGATCTCTCCTTCGTTCTTCCAATCTGGCAACTGATTTCATTTGATAAAAGTGTATTCTCATGCATACTTCTCTCCTGGACAGATGATCTGAAACGCTCGCTTTTGGACTCTTTCAATATTGATTCGTTGCTTTGCTGTCAATCCCCCAGCCCACAAGACATCGGAATACTCAAGAACAGGTCTAATTATGTTTTTTTTCTGAAAATTGTATATAATCTTGCACTTGAAACTACAAAACCCTTCGACAGTTTTTCTATTTTGATACAGCGTAATACACAATATAATATAATATAATATAATATAATATAATATAATATAATATAATATAATATGCGCATGATATAATATAATATAATATATTATAATATAATATGCGCATGATATAATATAATATAATATAATATAATATAATATAATATAATATAACATTATATAATATAATATAATATACTATAATATACTATAATATAATATAATATAATATAATATAATATAATATAATATAATATAATATAATATAATATAATATAATATTATATAATATTATATAATATAAGTAGAAGATATTACTCCTAACATTATACTATGTAATATAATATAATACAATACAATACAATACAATACAATACAATACAATACAATGCAATGCAATGCAATGCAATGCAATGCAATGCAATGCAATGCAATGCAATGCTATGTAATGCTATGCAATGCAATGCAATGCAATGTAATAAGCATAACATAACATAGCATAGCATAGCATAGCATAGCATAGCATACCATACCATACCCTAACATAGCATAGCATAGCATAGCATACCATAGCATAATATAATATAATATAATATAATATAATATAATATAATATAATATAATATAATATAATATAATATAATATAATATAATATAATATAATTGCCAAAACAAAACAAACTTTTGATGCTTTAAAGCTAAAAATATGTTTCAAATGATGGCAATAAAAACAGTGATACACAGATTAATTTGCCAACATTTTTCAGCATCTGGACTGCTGGATTTGCCATGCATATGAAAGTTGTTAAACCGTAGGTTTCCTCGTGTTTCTCAGTTTTAATTTTCGAAATTTTTGTACTTTGTCTTTCGCCGAAAATATATCTACTAGTTGTTATCACAAGAATTGAAGGTTCTTTCTAAATCACTTATGTTCAGATTTTGTTGCGTTTATCTATGTTTTTGGTATTCCTGTATCTTTTCAAGTTTTTTCTCGGCTCTTTTGCACGCTTTTGCCCCAAACCTGTCGAGACAACAACAAATTCGACGAATGCCAAGCCGGTTAATTTTACACGTAGAACTATAGAAAAATTGCTTTGTTCTTTTGGTCTATACCTTCTTGCTTTCTGATCAATTTTGCATTTTAAAACCTCTATAGTTTTGTTTATATTTTTGGCTAAGTAGCAGTGATGAAGAGGGGAAAGCAGAGAAAGAGCAAAACAGTGCCACAGATCACAGTGCATTATTGCATCACAATGCACGCCATTAGCCAATCAAATTGTCTGTTATATCACACTTATATTATAAGAGATTTTATAAGCATTTCAAAAACTCATTAATAATTCATGAAGCAATTATCCAATTTTGAGTAAGAAATTAGTCATGTGCATACGTCTTTATACCAGCTAAAAAACATTTTAACAAGATAAAGATTTTTATATAAAGATTTGTATATAAAGATTTGACTTATTATGCAAACGTTTTTGAAGCCATTTAAAAAACTCGCAGGTCGTGTTTTATTATGTCTAAAGCCACTCGCTCTGCGCGCTCGAGGCTTTAAACCTAATAAAACACTCCTGTTCGTTTTTTAAATAGTACTTTAAAGTTTCTATTGATATATTTTGATAGATTGTTTGTCTCCAGTGCGGTATAGTTGGATGATCAATGTAGACCTTCTGCCCCGCACTAAACACAAACAATCATTCAATAACATTTTTCAATACGCCAATAAAACTTTGGTATATTCATTTAAACGAGCAGAAAATCATTAAAGGCACAGTTCAGCTTTTTGAACGATGGTTTTTAAGGCGCATTTCAGCCCTTTTAATTGAAAAAACTAACTAGGAAAATCAATTAAGCGTAATTCAAAATCAGCAAACTCGATGTTTTTAACAATAAAAATGTTTTAAAATGTTAAAAACATTGAGTTTGGTGATCTTGAATTATGCTTAATTGATTTTCCTAGTTAGTTTTTTCAATTAAAAGAGCCGAAATGCACCTTAAAAACCATCGTTCAAAAGGCTGAACTGTGCCTTTAACATTTATTAATTTTCAATTACATGAATTGTTCACTTAAGAATAAATGTCAATTTCAATAGCATTTACACAAGTTCAATAAGCATAACTAAACAGTCAATACGAACAAAAGGATATTCACATACACACAACGAGAAATACATTTCACGACAACATATTTACTCATTAGCGCAGGAAATATGTATGGAGTAAGTTAACCTTCGATGCAATTGCCGTTAAGACATCGAGGTAAGTAAGTTTGCATGTGCCTGAACCACGAATTGCATTTTCTGATTGTTACTGTGTCCATGTTCCGTTCAGCAGCAGCTGCCAAAACTCTTTTCCTGTATTCCCCTAACGGAATACGTTGTTGACGCGCCATGACTCTGTTTTTCATCTCCAATTGGATTTCAGGTCGTGAAATATCGTTTTTGATTGCGGCTTTCAACGCACTTATGGCATTCACGCAGATTTTAAGAAAAGGGGAAGATGGTGGTAGCAGCCGTAGCGAGATTTCTTCAGCAGGACTTACAGCTCCCCGATGAGCTGGTGTTCCGTCATAATAAAAAACCGTCTCCACACCCGCCACATTTTGAGCACATTCATCTAGAAATATCTGTAACCGATCTGTGTTTGTGCCTCCTTTGCGCATTGAGTGATGCACAAAGCCAAATGTGGAAGAAACTGCAAGAATAATGCTGATGTTTCGTCCTTTTTGTTCTGACACTTGGCGATATGCTCTATCTCCTCGAAGCGCTCTGCCGTGACTCCTCACCGTCCAGACATTAAAACCGCATTCATCAATAAACACGATTTGCCTCTGGATCGCTTCTCCCAAAAACAACGCTGCATAATCGCGTCTGCTTTGGATAACGTCAGGTCTGTTTCTTTCTGCAGGGCATCGCCGAACAAGTTTGAATGTGTATAGCATACCATTCAATACCTTTCCAACTGTCCGTGGACGTATTCGGGGCTTATCAGGCAATCTTTCCTGAAGCAATCGGTTTATGCCATCAAGTGTGAGAACAGGGTTCTCGTTCAGAATTTCTTCAATGCATTGCTTCATTTCATCTTCAACTTTCCTGTGGATGGGGCCGCCTCGTGGTCTTTCAGCTATCTGTCCTTCTTGCAAATGTCGTCTGACTATCCCTCTCGCTGTCGAGCGGTTAACGCCGATGGTATCAGCAACAGAAATGCATTCTTGGGCTGGATCATTGAATGCTCTTATCAAGACTCCCTATTTTCCAAACTCTCACGTTTTCGTCTAGGTCTTGCTGCCATCATGTACAATATTGTATGTTAACTTTGACGACGTACTCAATTTTATAGCGTTTTGAAATGTGTTACATCCTCAAGGGAATAGAGTTGAATACCGTACAGTCGAATTGTATGGTAACAGGTTAGTTAGCACACACAACGAGAGTGACATTCTTAAACGTGTAAATGAATATCCTTTTGTTTGTATTGACTGTTTAGCTATGCTTATTGAACTTGTGTAAATGCTATTGAAATTGACCTTTATTCTTAAGTGAACAATTCATGTAATTGAAAATTAATAAATGTTAATGATTTTCTGCTCGTTTAAATGAATATACCAAAGTTTTATTGGTGTATCGAAAAATGTTATTGAATATTTGTTTGTGTTTAATGCGGGGCAGAAGGTGTAAAGGCGATTGTTGTCTCGCAGCAGCGTGTGTTTATTTAAAAAATATACAAGCTTCATCCATATATATGTTATATACACTAGATAGCGCGCAGAGACACAGAGAGCAGTGTATCATTCCTAGATATCGTTAGTATCAAACAATGACAATAAACTAGTACTTCTGTTTCCTACAACTCCACCAACACCATAGCTATCTTCTATCTCTGCTCCGCACGCAATAAACACCAAAAAGATCGATGTCCTTCTATTAGTACCGTCCGCTTTGCCGCATTTGCAGTGAATAAGGCGAATTCCAAGTCAAATGTCTAGAAATGAGACAATTTTTGTCCCAAGGGGATATCCCACCTCTCTAATAGACATTGCCTTTTCGACGGTGTACCAATTTTCCCGATCTGAAGCTCTTAGAAACCCTGTGTTCAATGTCACAGGTAACAACAATAAAACTCCCCAAATGTATTAATTAATGTATCATTGTTTCGATTTCGAAGTTGGAGATCAGTGAAGCCCTTGTTCATACTAGCTCCTTAGGACAGGATTCGTTGTCACAGAATGACACGCTTCTTTGATGGGTGTACCATTGTAAAACCTGTGAATTTATATATTATGCTGCCACCATTTGGAACGAAAAGCCCAACCCACATCTTAACAACAAATAAATGTGCACATCCTGCCATCTCATTTACTGCATCTCATACAGCAGATGCTGTATATTTTCTATTAGGTAAGCTGGAAGATCTTTGAGGACAAGGTTTGTTGAGTCATTGGCAATGATGCAAACATTTTAATGTTGGCATTCACAGAGTTTCAGAAATGGAAAATCGAACCTCGTAAGACATGAAATGCGTCTCATTTTAAAACTTGTCCCTGTGCACCCCTAAGGCGTTAAAATGAACGTTTTTCCTACGCTTAGCTATATCTGTTCTTTTTGCCAAACTAAAAAGCAGACATTGACAGTACATACTTGTTTCATATTCTTATTATATAGTATATTCTATAATTTCGCCTTCAATGGTTAAACGAATTAAACAAGATTTACCGCGGCGCCTGTGATTGATTTTATATCCAATACTTAAGATCAGCATGCATGTCAGCTGAAATGATTCGTAATGTTACATTTGAAAATTTTATTTTCTTGTTGCTGTTTAGCTGTTGCTTTGTGATATGAAATGCCTACAAGATACTCTTGGTAAGCTGGTGGAAAAAGGTAAACTGAAATTTGACAATAAAAATTCTATTAATCATACCTTAGGTATTTTTTTTATTTTTACATTCCTAATTGTCATTCTAATCTTTACCCTAACCCTAAGACCTAAGTCTAACTCAAAAGTTCTTAATCCATCACATTCTTAATCCAACCCTGATTTTATCTTAAATCTAACCCTAATCCTACCGTACAATGCTACTACCCATCCTTTAATTAACATTCTTGAACACTTCTATTTCACATTATTTCCAAGCGAATACAATAATAAATAATTTATGAAAATGAATTAATCTCGACATAAGCTAGAAATATATACATCAATTGTAATACGACAGTGTACTGACATAGACGCCGGGGGGGGGGGGGGCATCGCATCATCTGCTCTTTTCGGTGGCGGGAAATTGGGGAAAGCTGTCATTGATTTTAGGTAAATATTTAAAATATTCAAAAATTATTTTAATTTTTTTTACATGTTGTTGATGGGGAGGAGGGCGGTACAGTTTATCAATCCTAACCCTTAGGGATCGGTCATAAAGTAACTGCTAGGGTGGGCCGGAGTGATTTGGGATGGGCTATTGAAAATCTTGGGGCAGTTTCGATGGGCCGCCAATTATTTTGTATGTCCATGGTTGGGCCACGAAACAAAAACCCATATCTACTTTCATCACTGATTATGATAAATATAATAGCAAATACAACATAATACAAATTAAACATAATACAAATCTAACAGGGCAGGGCTGTATACTGCACAGAGGGCAGCAGGGGCACCTGCCCCCCACCGAGAAACTTTAACTAATTTTATAATGTGATTATGCTTGTAACGGACAATTATGCTGTCAGGAAATAAAAATTTCATGCAAACAATATTCGAAGTGTCCATACAGCCGGCTATTTAGTAAACTGTCATTTGTCAATCCATACTCATCGAATTGTCAAAACTTTATTGTAATCATATGAAGCAAAAGTTCTGTCACTTGTTGTTTACACTTGCCGATGTTAACTGTTGAATAACATATACAAACTAATCCAGGAAAAGAGTCAACCATATATTGAAGACCACTGAATAGTTAATTAAGTAGTCTAGTAGATGTTTTGAAGGTTATGAGTGAAGTATATAATTCAATTCCAATCCTGTGCACAGATAATGATATACCACACAGTTCGGTTTAACTCAGCATATCCACACAAAACAATTTGTGTTGTGGGAGAATTAGGATATCTGTTTGAGTAGAAGGTATCACAAGTTCAATTTTGTACATTGTGTTCTATTGATCTGATCCATCCATATAGACAGTGGGCCGTGTGCTCTAAACCTTGATAGTTTAAAGGTTTCGTGACCACCATTTGGGGTGGAGACAAAACCTTTATAAGATGACGCGGAATGGTGCTGTGAGCAACATATATTTTTTCACAAGTCCATATGTTGCACATTAGCACAAACCACCAGCCCAATTATTGAACTTTGGAATCGAGGAAGGGAATGGGTCCGAATTTTTATAAAAATGCAATAAGCATATGATAAATCAACAATGAAGCATATCGCAAGAAAGAGCACATCAAAATTGATATGTTTACTAAGTTTGAAGATGTTCGGATTAATATTGGTGGAATAACAAGCTTTCTTAAATCTCAAAAATTCAATTATCGCCTATATTTTAAAAGCTTACTTGCACTCAAACTCAAAGAGCGGAGGTTCAAGATGAGCTTCCTTTTTCCTTTGAATAGCTGGAGGGTGAGCATGGCAGCCAAGAGAATTCCAAGGCCCGGGGCAAAATTTTCCCCCAGGCCGCTATGAAGTATTAGTTAGTGCCAAAAGCACGCCTCGAGCGGCATAGACGCAAATTTTCCACAGTGGGGAGTCGGAGAGCATGCTCTCCGCGGGAAAATTTTTAAATTCAGAGTCTCTGAAATACCATTTCCTGTACTTTGGGCAAGATTTGACAGAATTCTGATGGTCAGAAAACGACATTATAACATATTTTGCTCTACAGTCTGAGCTTGGGGGCTCCCCATTTGGCTCTCTCGCAATTAAGGGGCCCGGTTTACGTTGGGGGCCCGGGGCAAGTTGCTCCACAGTCCCCTGTCGGCGGCCCTGAGGGTGAGTACTCGCATAGTATGGTACGACACTAACCCTCCAGACATAGATAGACATAGACATAGATACTTTATTATAGCTCCCTAAAAAGGGCTCTTCCGCTGCAGTTGATAAATACAATATATAAATAATATCTAATTAAGAACAAATTAACTCAATAAGTTCTTTCTGAGTTCATTTCGAAGTCTTTGCTTAAAAAATCTAGTGTTCTCAATTTCTTTAATATCAAGAGGCAGTTCATTATACAGTTTTGCCCCTCGATAGGAAAACATTCTTTGCCCAGTTGCAAGCCTACATTTGGGCAAATTTAAATCATTACAATGTCTAGTCGATCTGCTATGTATGGCAGAACGAGGCATAAACTTATCGGATAAATATGCTGGTACTCTGCCATGAAGGCATTTATGGACCATAACGGCATCAGCTACACTCTTTGAGTGTAAGTGAGCTTTCAGAATACAAGCGTATGAAAACATAAAAATAGTGGACGGCCGTCCCCCCAAACAGAGTTTGTAGTTTTTAACAGTTTCTTTAAGTAGTCCTCTTCGATGTCAAACTCCGCCGCCTCATGATCATCGTCATCATCTTCCTCGTCATCTTCAAAACTGGCTTGCCCTGCAATGTTACTACATAACTTTCTAGCACAATTGCACAAATCTGTGCAGCGTACATTGTTCTCTAGGCAAGTACATTTACTCGCATAGCTGCAGCTACTTTTCTTGCAACTACTAGTGCAGTGGACAAGTTCCATAACACTATTTGGAGCAGGAGGCAGAGTCATCCAGTCTACCACAAGATTGCCGTCTTCTATCTTCCAGCCATGGTGTTTGGGAGAGGGTACATCTGATGTTGCCTGCAAGGTTCGCTTGAAGATACCTGTAAAAATTGTATGAAAGATGAAAGTTTTCTTGAAGTTGTTTCATACAAGTATGCCTATATTCTACACGTGCAAAGCAGCATTCACAACAACGTAATTACTATTTCACACATGCAAAATTAATATGAAAGTTCTCATTTCAGCTCCACCATGATTAAATTACCTGCTTGGTAATTTGTTCTCTTGATGTGCTGCGTCAGTGCATCTTGGTTGGGTGGCATGGCATTTTCAGACTTTCGTGCTAAGCGGAACATGTTGCACCTGGCTACGTTGACCTGTTCAACATCATGTTGCCCATACTATTTGCACACAAACTTGTCCAGCAGCACTACCATCTCTGGCAGAAGATCAAATCGTTCTCCAAGATCTTCGAATGCAGAGCACAAGTTCTTGTCATTGAGGAGTAAGTTGAAGGCTTTCGTCTTTCCTCTTCCGTAGAAGGCACTCACACTTTCACACCCAGTGAAACAATGCAGCCCTATAAAAGACTGTCTGGCGTCATCACCAATGCTTTCTTGAATGGCTTTGATATCAATTGTTCGAAGATCAGCTCCCTTCCCAGTATGAAAATACAGATGGGCAGCAATCAGTGGTTGCAACGATACCCCGATAACAAGAACATCAATGTCAGGACTCACTATGATGACATCTGAGCAGGTATTGGCTGCATAAGTTACATGAAGATACAACCTTGTATCGGCTTCTTCTTGTGTGGAATTCAATTCCAGTACTTCATGGACTTCAACAATCTGATCTGCTGTGTTACCGGGTATTGCATAGAATATATCACACTTGCTTCCATGGGCATAATAGACCTTTACACCATGGACGTCGCACATATTCACTGTCTTCCATGTGTCATACAAGTACTGGAGCAGCGCTTCCTTGTTTTTACCACACGAGAGAAACTTCTTCCATTGCAGTGGAATTTCCTGCCCATAGACGCGTATCACCTGCGAACCCCCAACAGCCCTTTTAGCCCTTTCTGCATTTTTTATCGACTGATCTCTGTAGGTATCTGCAACGAAGTGAATTTCAATCGATCCATTCCCTTTTTGCCAGATTAACTATGCGTCTCAGTAGCACATGTGCAAGGTTGAGGAAAGTTCTTTCACCTGGGAGTTTCTTTACATCCACTTTCTGGATCGTTGCCATTGCATCCACTACATATATACCCCCTCTTGGAATTTCTACGATCGCTTTCTCCGGTTGACTTTCCAGACTATGTGGCATCTTAGCCTTGTTGGTTTTAACAAGACATCCAAGTGATGTACACAATGCTAAAGGTACTGGTCCCAAGGAGTATGATAACAGTTCTTGCAGGTCCACCTTGCGGATGCGTCCAATAACGACTAGTCTTGCTAGAAGATTTCTGTCTGCCTTTAGCGAGACCTCCTTTCCATGGACTTTACTCTTTGTAGTTTTGGACATACTGGTAAACGTCTTCAGCTTCAGTTTCTTCATGCTTGTGAGCAAGTCCACTTCCCGTGTTTGAAGACGTTCTTTACAAATAGCAATGAGTGCAGCTTCTCCTCTATCATAGGCAGACTGTAAATCTTTTTCAACTTCTTCAGTAGCTACTGTACCAGATGTGATGTGCAGCAATTCTTCTTCCTCATACTCGAAGGGATTGATCATACTGTTTGTAAAATCTTAATTTTTGTTTCTTAAATCCTAGATGTATATGCCTCTAGGTCGTATTTTATACGTTTACGGTCAGTTTATAACTTTAAGTTATACTGTTTGTTGTTTACACAATTTTATCAACATCTGCCTTGTCCCGCTTCATCTGGCTTGGAAGGATATCTGTTCTGATGGAACCTCTTTCTCTCTTGCCAGCCATGTCCTTACACTCCCTTGTTATTGATCCCCTTGCATGGTGTGACCATATCCATCTGTTCACCCTTCCTTTGCTTGTTGTAAAACCTGTCATCCCTCCTTTTGTCTTGGAATCGCGATTGGCGGTCTGTTCAATTGTCTGATCACAAGCTATTTGAGCGAATGCATTCTCGCTTCTTTGCACAGTGAAGTGGCCTTCCATAACTTGCTGATGAACTGATGGATGAGTGGTTAGAAGATCTTTCATTTCCAGCCAATACACTGGAAGATATCGGCTGTAGTTAATATGGTCATATGCAAATATCCACGGCAGCATACGTCTGACACTTGCCAAGTGCAGATTCCAGTTTCCCTCTCGTGTACCTCTCAGGAAGAGCAAAAGAACCTCTACCATGTCCAAATACGAGTTCCAGAATCTGAAGGTCTGCTTGCTGTTACCTGCCTATATGAACTGGTCAAAGGATGCCACAAACTCTTCAAACCTATCACTGTTCAAAATCTCAAATAGTAAGGTCAAAACCTCAAATCCCGTGACCAACCCCCGGCTAGTAAAGTTTGATGATTTATTTATGTTCTTTAGGATATTTATCGTAAAATAAGCTTCCATGCCGGTCGGGAAAGTTTGGGCACAAATCTGTAGAGCGAAAAATGTAAAAACAATAGCATGGTAGCCATCTTGAATAAATTATTGTTTTAGCGAAAGCTATAGAATATTCAAAAAGACTTTTTTCTGGACTTTTACAACGAATTCTGACATACGACAAGCAGAAGGAACCTATTTCACGGAAACTATCCTAATATCGCCGCTAAAACATAGTCTCGTCAATAACTCGTAGCCCGGCATAATGGTAAACACCACCACTTTTTAGGAACTTTAACCCTCCACAATGGACAATATAGTTTGAAAATCATACTACTGGTTTAAATGTCTTATATTGATTTTCGTGCCAGCTATCTACTGATATAGATGTTTTTACGTAAAAATGAACATGAAATTTTCAGTTTTTCTCAATAATAGTACTTTAGTGAGAAATAGAGAAAAATGTCATTAAATCAATTTTTACACGGTTTATAGGAAATATCTCGAAGGTTTCTATATCCAATGTTATTCAGTATGCATTAAAGTGTCGCTATACCACGTTTGTTACTTTTATAACAAACTGAACACTAGTTTTTCTTTTGAATATTTTTACCGTTCTGCCGGACTACGAGAGTACGAGTTATTGACGAAACTATGTTTTAGCAGCGAAATGCGAATAGTTTGCGTAAAATAAGTTCCTTCTGCTTGTTTTATGTCAGAATTCGTTGTAAAAGTCCAGAAATAAGTCTATTTGAAGATTCTATAGCCTTTGCTAAAACAATAATTTATTCAAGATGGCCGCCATGCTATTGTCTTTACATTTTTCGCTCTACAGACTTGTGCCCAAACTTTCCCGACTGGCATGGAAGCTTATTTTACGATAAATATCCTAAAGAACATAAATAAATCATCAAACTTTACTAGCCGGGGGTTGGTCAAGGGATTTGAGGTTTTGACCCTACTAAAAGTACTGAGGACTTGGAAAGGCTTGTTGTAAGTCTGCCATCACTTGCTCCACTTTGTTAGCTGCCTCTCCCGTAAGGGAATGTAGAAAAGCTTGTAGCATCATTCGGTGTACTGCATCTGACATCAGGTTATTTGACCTGACTGCTCTATTGTAATGTTTTCCAGAAATTACACCGTTCATTGAGACTATGGCGACGACCTCCGACTCAATCAGTACGTCTTGTAGGCCTGCATCTCCAAAACGTTTGCCAATACATCCCAGGAATGACATGGCTGTATGGAATGCCCCAAGGCGGATGACAAAGTTTCTTCATGACCTGCGCATTTTTTCACCTAATCAGCTGTGCTTTGAAAAAATGGCTTGATCCATTACAATGACAATTGCCTCTAGTTCTAACTTATCAGCAATTTGGATGCTCTTCTGTAGTATTGTTAATACTGTACTCATGTCTGTGGGACTCCCATCTATCACTGGCAAATACCCAGCTATGAAAGATCTTGGTGGCACTTCAACTTGAGCGAGTAGCTGATTGTAACCAGACCATGACGGTAGAAATCTATCAACGTTGAACTTTGTGACATGATATGGTAGGTCAAGCTTCTAAGGATTCTTTAGTAGCGGTGCATATGTTGACTCCTCCAATGAAATCCCTGCGGCAAATGGTGCAGGACCTTCGTGTTTCCCCCCATAATATGTGGCAAGATTTGCTAGTGGTGGTTCCATTGACCTCTTCCGTGTTCTCTTCTCTAGGACATCAGTTGTGGATGCATTTGGAGGGTCAGTTGTGGATGCATTTGCAGGGTCAGTTGTGTATGCATTTGCAGGATCAGTTGTCGATGCATTTGGAGGATCAGTTCTCGATGTATTTGGAGGATCAGTTGTCGATGCATTTGGAGGATCAGTTGTCGGTGCATTTGGAAGATCAGTTGTCGATGCATTTGGAGGATCAGTTGTCGATGCACTTGGAAGATCATTTGTCGATGCATTTAGCGGATCAGTTGTCGATGCATTTGGAGGATCAGTTCTCGATGCAGTGGTGTTGCCATGCTGAATAACTATTCCATTTGTGTTGTGAGTCGTTCCATGACCCGACAAGGTTTCCTCACCAAAGTCGTTATTGTCCCAAACAATGATAGTTGGTATCCTGGGCTGTATAGACAAAGGAAGCGCATCAACTCCACGTCTGACTTCCTGGTTGGCTAGTGCAGTGTCATGGTTCAATGTAACAGAGTGTGAAACACAATGGAAAAAAAACGTTCAACAAGCCGATCAACTGTGCAGATCCTGAGAGGTGACGAATAGCCATGGCTAGTGACATGTGTTTTGGCATCAATTTCCGTCCTTTTGAGGCAAGGGAAATGATGTCTTGTGAAATACACAGAAGCTTCTTATGAGTTGATGGAGTTACTTCAACAAATTTCCCAAAATCTGGCTCTTCTCATGCTCCAACTGTACATGCGTTGAAGCTGTAGAGGCTGCATGGAACTAATGTTTCTGCTGTTTTTTATTCAGGTGTTCTGAAGTTGGAGGCCAGGACATGGTTGGTTTTACTTCATTTATGATATTTCTTAACTCAAATGCTGTCATGTAGCTGTCTTTAAGTTTGTTTGTTTGGGCATCGAAGATGTTACTCTGTTTGGACGGTGTTGGGGCTTTGACGATTTCATTCGTCGAATCTTCCTCTCTGTCTGCAGTGATGTGCATTGCATCTTGAAGCAATTCCTTCTCCTCTATAAGTGCAGCTGTCGAAATGTCATTAACATATACTATTTCGCTTTGCGATCTCATGCGTGGGGTAATGAAACACAACTGAGGAAATTTCTTCATTAAACGCGTCTTCAGATTGCCAGTTTTGTAGGAATCTGCTTCTTTTCCATGTGTTAATTTAACCTGTTTGATGAACATGTCATTGAGTGTTTTCAGTCTCATTATATCTTTGTTTTCAATGATGCTGGATTTCACCTTCTGACAAAATACTTCAAATGCCACTGAATAAGATGTATATCATTCTTGCTTGTGTCATCAGATTGTAGTTTGGTAAGGTAGCGGGTGTAATCTTTGTAGCAAGAATTGTGATACCTTACCTCAATAGCCACACAATCCTTATCCTTGATCTGCATGAGCAGGGCTTCATTTTTGTTGTCCTCTGCTGCTTGCTTCAAATTAACGACATCTATAGTAGAACATTTCACATGATGTTCATTTTTCCTTTTACAAGTGATTTGGCATGTGATCGTCTTTTCTTTCTGACAAAGAACGCATATGTTCGGTAACACATGCTGTGATCTAGACTGCAATGTAGGTCGGTCAATGCTGGAACGTAGCGCCCGTATCTTCTCTGGTTTAAAATTGTCATCTTGCACCTGTACACAGTTTAGAGGATCAGTGTATGATGCTGCGATTCAACAGAGAAAAACTCCGGATGTGGCATAATATAAAAGATTTAATCGTTAAATGGTCAAGCTACATGTTGCATAAAGAATTAAAGGATACATAATTTTAATTTTTGGTGAATTGAACATCAGTCTGCTAGTAAAATAAACTGCCTGTAAAGATCAATCCATAATTAATATTTGAATTCATGTATGGTAAATAAATATGATTAAAGTACTTTCCCAAAATAAGACTAGATTGGTTCAATCTTTACTATTTCGAATCATAATTACCATGAATTTTAATAGTAACAATACATCAATAACAACGATTGAAGGATTGGCTGGTATTATTAATAAACTGGTGATCACAAAAGCTGGTATTCCATTCATGCAATAATTACTGATAATGACTCTCAAAATACATGGTAAATTAAAATTTATTGGCTCAATCTATTATTTTTAAAAATTGGCCAGGGGAACACATGGCAGCGAAGGATTTCAAATCACAATCACCATGAATTTAAATAATCGTAATATGTCAATAACAATAATAAAATTTATTTACCATGATAAAACTGATCAGACATTTGAAGTATTATTAAACTGGTGATCACAAAAGCTGGTATTCCATTCATGCAATAAGTAAGAGTTAGATACCGAAAACGGAGGCTGTTAGTCAGATACAAACCCGAGGGGCCGTACGCCCCGAGGGATTTATCTGACTAAGAGCCGACGTTTGAGGTATCTAACTAACTTAGTTCATATTTGTAAGGATTGACCCTCAATGAAATTTACTTTATGATATGTATTGTTCTTTAAATGAGTTTGAATTACCATGGTTGTAATAAAAACAAACAGGGCTATTTTGATATGCATCAATTCTCGTGTCGCACTACTGTATACTATCAATGAGAAGTGATTAAATATTCGTTCACCAACCACAATTACGATGAAATATGTTTGAAATAGCTCATACAACCGAGAAGAGTTAACGAAGATTTGTACGGGTTTGTCGAAGCAGAGATTCTCAAGTTGTTCTCAACAGGGTTTTATTTGCAGGATAAAAACCAAATGGGAGGTCTTTCATTGAAATTCAAGACCGAGGCGTGCAGCGCCGAGGCTTGAATTTCAATGAAAGACCGACCATTTTTTATTGTCCTTGGGAGGTTGTGGGACGAAATAAGGTTGAACATGCGCATTAAACACGCTTTAATGTGGTTGAGCATGCGTAGTATATCATTTCGCGTCCCACAAGCGAAAGAGCAGATATTACTGTATAAATTCCTTGCACAAGCAAGTTTGATGGTCGGTTCAGCTAGTCCTCGTGCACCGAATGATAAATATTCTACCCAAAGGTAGAGTTTGACGGGCTTTGAGGTACACGGCTGTTGTCTCTTTCTCGACTCAGAGACGTGCAGCGTTTTCTAGTCGAAAAGGAGATGTGGGGTTTGAGTTTGGTTAAAAATTCAAGGTATCTAACTCCATAGTGACCTCCAAAAGGGGTCACTATGCAGTTAGATACCTTGCATTTTTAATTAGGCATTCAATTCTATTCATCAACCCCGCTTTTCCCTGTGGAGATATCAAATCCCTCCCCTTGCTTTTAGATTCTTACCCAAATAAAACCCTATTGAGAACAATAGATATCCGCACAAATATGAACTAATTACTGATAATGACTCTCAAAATACATGGTAATTAAATTAAAATGTATTCGCTCAATCTATCATTAGCAGCAAAAGGTTTCAAAATTCAAATCATAGTCACCATAAATATGAATAATCTGAAAAACTGGTATTAAGTCTAAATTGGAGTGGCCTAATGCACTTGCCAATGTTTAGCCCCAGGGGAAGGGGGCCGAGCAGCCCCAGGGAATTTGACTTTTTGCCTTATTCTCATCTCAATTTCCCTGCCCAGGGGACAATCTGTTGTGTCAAATGACCCCTCCCCAGGAAGTAAATTTGCAATGTTCAGTGCTTTGTAAAACCTCTACAATAAATTTATATGATAAAGATTATGAATTGCAATTCAGCGACAACGTCAAATTCCTCCACCCTGCGGTCATAAGAAAACGTCAAATTTCTTATTATTCCCCATCCACCGGAAAGCAAACCCAGTCAAATCCCCTGGGTACGCCCGGCCCCCCTCCCCTGGGGCTAAACATTGACAAAAGCAAAAGCAATTGCGAAATGGTCTTAACTTATCCCCTTTGTCACAGCAATGTGTATTTCTATCCTTTCAATAAAGTCACGCGTGCTAACTTTAATCACAAATAAGATTAAATTCATAAAAGGTTTCACTCTATTGCATTAAACCATGTCTCATTGTCATGTCTAATAGTAGACATAATTTTAATAAACCTACCTTTGTTAGCTAATTTTTGCATGCTTTTTATCACTCTTCTAACACGTTACGAGTCGGTAAACCGTGTGTAACACATCTGATGATATCCACCATGTAGTGGAATTGGAATTGCATTTGCATCAACGACGTTATCGATGTTGAATTCTGCATGTTTATCAATAAACTTATTCGCAACTTCGGCTTGATCTCCATCTAAAGATTTCCATTTTGGGACATATTTTAAGAATGTATTCCATGTCCTGGCCGAAAATGGTACAATCTTGGGATTTGCTGGTGGATTAACGCACATCATACACACTTTCTCTTGTATATTGTCATCAGACTCTTCACTTGAAACGTTTTCTTCGCCAGAAGCCACCATATTGTCTCACCGGAGCTCGAGGAGCCTACGGCAATTATCACATTCAATCCCGGGGACATATACCCGATTCATATACCCGATTGTAAATAGACAGTAAATATATTTCAATTGCTAACTAACGTACCAGAATCTTGCGTGTGAAAAGAGACAGAATAATTTCCATAATTTTATCTACAATTTAATACCAATATCATGCCCACCCTCGTTGTGGGTCACGAAACGACAGAATATTATGGTAGAGCCCAGTGTCTAATATAATATATGATTATTGTTGCTGTTAAGTTATTTTCCATACTAATGAATTTAGGTAAATTGTCTTGCAAGTGGGTTATTCTGACAAAATTTTTTGGCCAATATCCAGTACATCAGTACATGTATTCATCCTTGTATTAATCTGTAAACGAAAACATTTATATTAGAAAGCAAAATGACAATGTAATGAGGAGGGAGGGTGGGGATTCTTTTATTAGCATTTGAAAATGGTTGTAACAATTTTGTTTATAAATTACTGTAACTCTACTGTGCAAAACGAAAATGTATATACAGCGGTCAGTATAATCTGCAGACTGCAGACCAAGTAAAAAATGCAGAATAGGTATAAATTGCAGACTGAAATTGCAAACTTGGTATGAAATGCAGACAGTAAAAAAGACGTACAAAACTACACATTACACACGTTTTCAAAATTATGCGACTTACCAAAATATAAGCAAGGACTCAAATGTCAGTTTTATGTCACGAGAGTTATGGGAACTGCTAAGTATAGCAAACGTAAGCTAAATTAAGACATTTTAAACCGTATTTAGTACTTAGTGAGTAAAGAAGAATACTGAGCCAGATACACAAACTAAAAGAAACAACAAATCATCACAAAAGTAAATTTGTGTAGTGAATGACTTTTATAAGTTTGAGAAACAACAATTTATCCTCGAATTTAAATGACAAGTGTGTACTAAACCCGCTTACGCCTGACTATAGCAGTAATATATATTCTAATTTTGTTGTGCTTAAATTTTGCAATAATTTTCACGTATATATTTTGAAAATCATTCTAAACCTTTTTATATGAAGCATACAAAGCTTATACATTAACATGCATCGACAATGAACCGCAAAACTCGAAGTTGTAAATGATTTGAAATTCATGACAGTATGACATATTAAAATATATGTTTTTTCACAGTCTGCATTTTATACCAAGTCTGCAATTTCAGTCTGCTATTTATACCTATTCTGCATTTTGTACTTGGTGTGCAGTTTGCAGATTATACTGATCGGTATATGAAGTATAATTTTAACTGATGACATCTTTTCCTTTGCTCTAACACTACATTTGGTTACAAATTAGTTGGACTGTTGTTTTGAACATAGTTACAGTAATACAGGACCAGGATTTAATTCAATATCTCCTGAGAACATCAGTTTCTTGTGATATTGTTAATTGGCAATATAATGCCTGCAGACAGAGTTTTGACTTTATAAAATATTACACAACGATGGATGTTATACTGTTACTATAAATGTATGTAATAAAATATGTGGTATTTGACTACTTACCAGATAAGGATAAGTTTCCATGTTGATAGATAACTTCGGAATAATATCACATGTAGAATGGTGAAAACAAGCCAGCCAATTCAAGATAAAATCAAGATATTTTTGAAGCCAAAATATGACAAAGAATAACATGACTTACACGAGGTCAAACTACGCCCGTTCGCAGGTTAGGAAACTTAGGTGCGAGAACGATGTAAACAATTGGTGTAAGCTAATCGCTGATTAGCTTAATTATATAAGCTCGTCCCTGAATGGCTATGCGTAACGTTAATAGTAATCTGCTTCGCAAATGCAAAAATAAAGATATACACCGGCACTGTATTGATATATGTTCATACCTGCAAGTTTTTTTCATTATAGAAGTGTATTTTCCCTATTCAGATTGGGTGTTTGGCTCATGAATTAAATTTGGTAAGATTGGATGGGCTTTGAAATTTTTATGTGCATCCTAAGATGGGTCACCAAACTTATTGGCAAAATTTGTGATTTACCTCCAGCCCACCCTAGCAGTTACTTTATGACCGGTCCCTTACCCACCTTATGTTTTACACAATAACATTACCAAATATAGTATGCAAAATCTGTGAAGAAAAGTTTTTCTTAATACTGTATTGTGACTTCATTTGGGGGATATTTATATGGAATGCACCTGTTGACCTTCTTTACGTGCATTTTTTGAGAAGAATTAATTGTTTCATATCTTGATTGATTATCAATTACTAACGTTTATTAACACAATTACATTTGCGAAAGATTACAAAAGAACTTTACCAAAGCCTGCAGCACCAAGTTTGGTTGACATTGGATGGCAAACGATACATTTGAGCCTTAATACGACAGAATTGGGAAATTGCAGTGATCTTTATTATATTTTGGAAGTCAAGCCACAATGAAGCCTTCAGGAGAGGAATAATCTCTTTGTTGTGTTTCCTTACACAAGGAAATACCACTATGTAAGTGGATTTTGATTTCTTACTCATGCTGACAAAAAAATCCTTTGCAGTATAATGCATTTCATCTCTTCTTTCAGTACATAACAAGAATTGAACTGAATGAAACAAAGTAGTTAATTAAATCAAAGAAACGGCACGGAAATTAAAGAGTAATATGCACACACGCCCAATTGATATATCGCTTACTAAAAGCCATATTCATAAAGTTATTGAATTTGTCTTCGGTATACATGCAAGGTCAATTGCAAAATAATATATGAGGTTTTATTATGTTTTTTAAACACCAGGGGCCGGATGTACGACGGTCGGAAAGCGCTATCCGCCGGATAGTGATTTTTTCAACCATTGTAAAATGCTTGAAAAACTGTGAAACTACGGATATAGACGACACAAAAAGTATAAAAAGCCTTTTAACTTATAAATACTAAACTTGAATACGAGTTATACCAATCAACGACTTTTTTTAAAAAAGCTTTATAAATCAATATCCAGTGGATAGCGCTATCCGGCTTTCGTACAATCGGCCCCTGACCATCTATGATTCTGTGTTTACCATGACGATCGACAACCCCATTTCCATGTATATACAATTCCTGCATTGGTTCTGACAATAATACATAATAATATATTACCCACTAGATCAATGAAACATCATATGCTGTTAAAGATCTTGAACCGAATACTGGTTATAAATTCCGAGTAATCGCAATGCAACTGAATAAATCGTCACCATATAGTAACTGGAGTAATGTTTTTAATACAACAAGTAAGCGAGAAACTGACACTCTTTAAAGTCAGGAATATCAAGTGGAAAATACAACTAAAAAACACGGATAGACTAGGACCTTTATAGATGTTTGTATGCGTTTCATTTAGCACAGGTAATCTTAACTGTTTTAGGGTAAAATGACCATGGCGGTCAACATGGCATATGTGCCAAAACCTGAATCCGGGACGAATGTGCTGAAAATGACCCCGCCCAGAAACAGCAGTGCCGACATAGCTCCATCTTCCGAAAACAAAAAGCAACAGCTTTTCTGAAGTGCTTATAGTTTTCAGAAGGGTTGCTTTTACGGGTGGTTAATGAAGGGAAAATTTGTCGAACTATAATATTTTACAAGAAAATGACCATGCACCACCCCAGGTAAATTGCTGATTATGCATAAAATAAATAATATGCGTGGCAAAAATTAAATGTTCTTATTTCCTAAACAAAATTATCATGGGATGAAAAACAATGCTTAATTCAATATAATTATTGTGGATTTCATAAAGATTGTCATTGTTTTCTTTAAATATAATACATTTCATTTCACTCACCCCCCACGAAAATACGATTTCAGCCATCTTGTTTGCCTTTTATCGCCGATTCTTGCAAATATCATCCAGTTGTTGTACTTTTGCATAGTGATAATTGGCTAAGGAAGATTTCAGCCAAGTTTCATGAAGTTTTGAAACAGTGCAGTGTATTTATATTCGATATTGTGTCCCTCGATATTTCGTCAAATTGCCGCCATTTTAATGGTTCGCCGCCTCTCCGCCCAATAAATGCCACTTCTTCGTTTTCATATGTATTTAGATTACATTATAAAGAGTACTTCATTGTAGAATAGTCCAAATCGAAAAACTGACAACATTAGTTGCACCAGGAAGGAAAAAACCTCCCATATACCATTTATGTTCAAAATAAAAACAAATCATTTGAAAGTCACGCTCAATATTCGGGAAACTTATTATGGAAACGTGACAGGGGGGTGAATATTTTCACGAAACGTTTGGTTGCCACCACAGCAACCTATAACCAAATATATTGTATTTATTGTATTTTTATGATTTATGATAAAAATAATAAATATTTGCGTATTTTTATCACAAATCATTAAAATACAATAAATACAATACATTTTTACAGTTAGGTTGCGCGGTGGTGGCGAACAAACGTTTCGCGAAAATATTCACCTACCTGTCATGTGTCCACGAGAAGTTTTCGCGAAGATTGCGTGTGAGTGCGTGACGTGACTTTCAAATGATTTTTTTTTTTTTTATTTTGAACTTAAATGGTATACGGGCGGTTTTTCCCTTCCAAGTGCAACTAATGTTGTCAAGTTTTCGATTGAGACTATTCTAAAATGAAGAACTCTTGGATACTCTAATCTAAATTCATATGAAAACGAAGAAGTAGCATTTAACTGACAGAGAAGCGGCGAGCCATTGAAATGGCGGCAATTTGAAGAAATATCGAAGGACACAATATCGAAGATAAAATACACTGCACTGTTTCAAAACTTCAATATGTAAAAGTACAACAACTGGATGATATTTGCGAGATTCGGCGATAAAAAGCAAACAAGGCGGCGAAATATAGCTGCAATCGTGTTTTCGTGAGGGGTGAGTGGAATAAAATGTATTATATTTAAAGAAAACAATCACAATTCTTATGAAATCCACAATAATTATATTAAATTAAGCATAGTTTTTATCCCATGATAT